CCGACGCAATTCCACTGCCTAACCACACACGCACACATAAATGGAAAATACGTCGTGCACGGTAAGCTAACGCATTGCCAGTCGCATAGACATGTTATTATTATATGAAATGAAGTCATCGTTCCCAGTTGCTCTCGCCCAACCAAGTAGCACCTGGGCACGTGACAGGGTTCGAGCAACGAACACGGAATAATTATCCTGAAAATCCTGATTAAAACAATTATTACTTTTTGCTCTTGTAACGGGCTACTCCTCTTTGATTCTTTTTCATTTCATTTTGCAATAAAAGTAAGTCGACTTTGTATTAATAAAAATTGAAAATCAAAGATAGACTATTTATTAATATTATAGAATTTAGTTATCAAGACTCTGCGATAAGATAAATGACTACGTATTAAACAAGCCTCGGGTGATCCCGTCGTCAAAGCCAATGGAAGACATAACATAAGTGCAACAGACATGTTACTTTGACGCAGAAATCTACCCGGCGCGAAATGCCTTTTTGTACATGGTCTGTAATACCATATTAATCTTAAATATCTTCACAGTAAACTGATATACACACATATTATGCATATAGGTACTGTATTCAAATAGTAAATAAATTTTAGTTATATTCCTTTGCGTTATTTGTCTACACGCATGACGGTATAACTGTTGAAAATAATAATTAACTCACTGACGGCTGAAATAAAATTTTACTAACATACTAAACATCAATCTAAAAATCATAAAAATTAACTCTAATACCAAAGGTGTCCAAATGGTACCCACGAGCTACAAGCAATTACAAGCTTCCCCTCGTAGGTTTCCCCGACTACCGACCTCAGATTGACTCGAGCGGGTCAATCCAAGTCCCATAGTGAGGGTACCTCCAGAGGGGAAGAATGCTGCGTATAAGTTGTAGATGGACAACTCTGGGCCTGCCCTTTTTAATGGACAGAATACAAATACTCAATCCTTCTGAGTATATACGTCTACCATACAAATATGTTTATACATAATACATGCTGGTGAAACACAGTAGTGCCTTCCCTGCATTTAACGCTCACACTACATTAAAGTGGTCGTGAGTACACGCCAGTACGTCTCGATACTCTACCGGTGTACGTAACCGTATGCGTTCTTTGCCAGTGGCAACGAAAACACCGGCCACGATAACTGGAAATCGCAATGCACTTTTCAATGGTCATACATGCACAACGTGTTAAATTATTCCATAACACGCGGTTTTTCACTAGGGCGTGCATATCGACGCACAAGTGACATAACTTAATACGTCATCTTTTTATGCACCGATACTTTATTGCGATTCCCAGTACACGTGTTCCACTATTTCATGGAACTTGCAAATACGAATGATACCTTTGTGTCTCGCGACACTGGTTCCGGGATTGAAATGTGCTGTCGCGTCTCGTGGTATTGCGCTAACTGCTACGCATGCCTATCCAGGAAGGCACCACCACGTTTTCCTCTCTATCATAAACATACCGGTTTGGTTTTCGTTCTTTCTACTCTGTATTAGAATCTACCGACGATACTTATTTGCACACATTAATGATTTGAATATTATTTTTTTTATCAGCTGACCGTTATTTACAGGCCATTGCGAATTTATTGTATTTTCTATATTCTGTAATTCTCTTTATGTAGAACTATTTGATGCTATATTCATAAATGGAAATGAGTACACAATATACTGAAGTGACTACAATGAAATTATTGTACGCATCATCTTCAAATTACTCCATTTTTTAGTGAAATGTATAACGTACTACCACGATATATACTCAATTAATAAAAACATAACAATTATATAAATAATAGATCGCTATCTTGAAATGTCAAGATCTCATGTTAAATTGAAGCACTAAAAAAAATACAACATATCCAATGTGGTTTCGTTTGCATCATACCAACATTGAATATTTAACTCATAAATATACTTTAAATACAAAATATTTATGAATTATATTACTAATAATAAGCGCGGCGTACAAGAAGACCCTAACCTAACTAAGAAAAATAACAGATCAAATACTACTCGCGAATACGCAATCGTACGATTGCATATCCGCGTTCACTGTACTCGCCAAAAGCACATATACAACCTGTCGCCCGTGCCGCTTCGGACCAATCGTCCTACGACATGATTGGGGACTGGAGGAATAAAAACATGCACTCACCCGATGACTGAAGAGCTCCCTATAAGATCGAAGAATCTCGAGAAATCGTGTAGCTTCGCCCAAGAACGTCCTCTGTAGTGGTCGTTTATGCAGCATCTGTAAAAATCTGAAAAAGAGGAACAGAATTCGTTATAACCTCTTCTCAAAATTTTAGCTGTTTCAGTTGAACAGTGTAATATAATATAAAGATACTTACAATCTCTCTTTGCAGAGCTTCGCCCAAAACATCCTCTTCCGTGATGCACTGACTTTACTTTTCCGAACGAGTACTTTCAAATAGAAAAAAAATTAAAATAAAAGACTATCGCGACCGAACATCTAAGCCGGCGAACAAATGACTTTATTTTCGTGACTAAAAAAGCAAAGAGTGTCCCGAAACTCTGAAAGTAATCGATTATACGCAAAAAACACTGACTCGACTTTCGCGAGGACCTAACGGCATCTGCGGTGAGATTGTAATCTAAGAGTTCGCTGCGCGTAACCATAAAAAACTTGTACGATTGTAAACACTGACTCAACTCGACCGCCTTGCACGCGGCCACCAAACTCTGGAAAAAAAGGAGGGGAAAGAAACATAACACGGCGCACGTGCACCGGCTTAACCTTTTTAGTTTTATATCGACCAAGTGCTTACCTTGAAAAAATTGTCATTCAATGATAAATAAGCGTTCAAATGCAAATGTCAATTTAACCACGAAAAATATTTCAGAGTAATTCTCAAATTTGTTCATATATATTATTCATTACTCATATATATTTGTTATTACTATATTATATTGAAGACATTCGTTATTAGAATTTAAGAATGTTCGTACTTTTTGTCTAATTCGCGAACCGAATTTTATAAATATTTAGAAAATTATTGCAAATATCAAAGTTTCGTAATTTAGTCAAGCTTCGATGAGCATGAAAAATTACGCAGCTTCTATATAATTACACTTATATCTGAAACCGTATATACATGCAAATACGATGACATCATAAAGATAAACCGCTAAAGTTATTAAAATTTAAATAATTTCGCGACCGAGATGCTGTACGGTACGAGTATTTCTAACTGAAAATTCTGGAAGCATCTCGTTTAAAGTTTCTAACGGTTTCTAACAAGGAAGCCATGTTGAATGCTTCAATTACGCGTTTGAATGTGCAATAGTTCTCCAAAGTATTCTGATTCGATTTTAGCAAAGCTAATCATAAAGTCGCGATTATGTTTACGGTAAAAGCAACGAAAATACAATAAAAGAGAAATATGTGTAACCTATTTTGTTATAAAACGTTACCAAATGACACCAATTTCCCGCCGAATTGCGTCTAGTGGGAGTCCAGTCGTGTCATCGGTGGCGCGTTCCTTCTAGCCGGCATTCTGAAACAGAAAATACACGTTAATACGAAGTAGTTATACTAAATTCACAATGATTGAATAAAAAAGAAACAATTATTGACTCAAGGAATGTTGCCAAAGATTGCAAATTGATCAAAAACTGCGTAAATACTAAGTAGTATCGGGGGGACAACAGAAATCGTGAAGCCGGTTCACTTTATCCAGCAATACCGAGTTAATTTACGCTTATTTACGCTGAATCGAATAGATACTAGACGAAAGTAACAGTAGAGTGCTAACGAAGATACCAATAACATAAATAATTTAAACAAATAAGTAATAATACTTACTTCCCCACGAGTGAGATCACTTCACGTCTAATCACTTCACCTTCACCGAGAAGAATGACCGTTACGCTGCCCATGACTGGCTATGATTGGTGGATCAGTGTGTGGAACGCGAGGATTGGTTCCCTCTCTCCGCGCGCCACTTCTTATCAATACGAAATAGAATATTTACCATTGAATTATATTTCAATATATGTTTCTAATATGCATCCGAGATTAATTCAGAAGGGAATGACTATCATAAAAGGGAAACAAAGAGGCACACACTATCCCCAAAAATGTGATATTCCAATTCGTTTTAGATGAAAAATATTAACTTTGCTACCGTCTTCTCGAAGTTTTCAATCGTCCAATAGTACCTCGAACGCCATCTATGATATCCTGTCAATTTCACAATGATACCAAAGTTTATGAAATACAATACAAAAGATATTACTAGTTAAATAATAGATCAAAACTATTCTTTATGGAGAAAACTTGACTAGCTGAGCTGTAGTTAGGTCGAAGTTCTTATTTAATTACTTTCTCACCAATTGCCAGAAAGTAATTGATTGTGTGTATTAAGATTCTTAAGATTCTAATAAGCATCGAAAATTTTTATTCCCACCAAATCATATTGGATACACTACATTTATGAATGGAATATATAACACTTCATTTGTGCTAATAATACTCACAATTCGATGATAGGTCTATTCTATACCTTGTCGGTGGTAGTAGCTTGGTAACTGGGGTCATAGAACCCCCGTAGAATATGTAAAAGACCCCGTCTATGTGTTAGAAAGTGGGGTCATGAAACCCCCGGAACATGCATAAGTGGCCCCCTATGGGTGAGAAGGTGGGGTCATAGAACCCCCCAGAGCAACGTAAGAGTATATTTATTTTATTAACAGTAAATTTATTTCAAATACTGAAAGAAATGTTAAACCGAATGTTAATTTCGCATAAGTTTTAATAACTCCTAGACCAAGTGGTAGGTCTTTCCGTTACATCACTTTTTCCCCTAGCGAAAGCCGAGTTTGCTCGTCGGTGTACGCAAGCCTTCCAATAATATATATACATGAAATCCTCATCCTCATAACTTTTTAATAATACGGTTCATACTCTACAGTTCATGTTGTCTAAGTTTACTCTGATTCTCACAGCGCTCATCAGCGAAGGAAAGTGTTTTATGGATTTTTTCTAGTGCGTCATTTATGGATTTATTGACGTGGATGAAACTTCTTCTGACAAGAGAATCATTCTAAATCGCGAAGGAATGAAAATTTTAATATTCTATGCATTATAATACTAAACATAAAAACTTTCATAGTATGGAGAATATACCAGGAAGTGAGGTTAGTTTTGTTTTCTTTTGTGGATATGACTGTCATTTATATTTCACTTCCTCAGATAAACTTCTAACACAGTCAGTAATACTGATATTTCTGTAAATTGTGATTTAATGTTTATTTCCCAATGTTAAAAACAGAATCAAATGCCCCATCAGTTGCCTCCAATGATGAACATGCCACCGAACAGTAATCACGGAGTACCAGGAATGGAACCCCCCAAAATGTTACCCAGTTTACTGAGCTTAAAAGTGAGTCCACCAAGCGAACTACAAAATCAGAATTCAATAGATGATGGAGGAAGAGAAGCAGATGGTGATTCTGTGAAATTACCAGCAGCTTTAGAGCAGGCTCTAGCTTTCAAAACTGAGAGGGCTAAAGAGGTAGGAGGAGATCCTAATGATATAGTTTCCTTAGAGAAAGCATCAAATCATGAAAATGTAGGGGAAGATGCATCTCAGTTAGATGATGTTATAATTGAACCTGAAACAACAACAGAAAAGACAAACACAAAGTTAGCTAAAACCAAAAAGAAGAAGAAGAAAAAAAGGAAGAAGCACAATATAAGCAAAGAGGGAGAAAATAAGAAAGACGATATAGAGAATTCAAAACCTAAGGATGATTTACCAGAGATTGAGTATGTTCAGGAGATTCCAAGTATTAATGATTTGGAACCTATGTACCGTCAGTTCGCTAGAATTTTTGAAGCATTTAAATTGACTGAACCTGAACCAAAATCTATGGAAGCAGACAAAGGAGAACCGATAGGACAGTATCCTCCTGTAACGAGTTTACAAACAACTGGTACTGTACCCAGTAAAGTACCACCTTTAGATGACTTTGACGACGATGCGATTCAGCAGCAGCAACAGCAGGGAACCGGGGAGAACGGTGCTCCCCGTCTTTCCAAGAGAAAGTTAAAAAGGCTAACACGTTTGAGCGTGGCCGAATTGAAGCAACTTGTTGGACGACCCGATGTTGTAGAAATGCACGATGTCACCGCTAGAGATCCGAAGCTGCTTGTACAGTTAAAAGCGCATCGTAACACAGTACCAGTCCCTAGACACTGGTGCTTCAAGAGAAAGTATCTTCAAGGGAAACGTGGTATCGAGAAGCCGCCTTTCGATTTACCAGACTTTATAAAACGTACAGGTATCACGGAGATGAGAGCGAGCCTTCAAGAACGGGACGATACACGCACGTTAAAAGCAAAGATGCGAGAAAGGGCAAGGCCGAAGCTCGGTAAAATAGACATTGACTACCAGAAACTGCACGATGCGTTTTTCAAATGGCAAACGAAGCCTCGCATGACCATTCACGGTGATCTCTACTACGAGGGTAAAGAATTCGAAACACGTTTGAAGGAAAAGAAACCTGGAGAACTATCCGACGAATTACGTACTGCACTCGGTATGCCAATTGGACCTAATTGTCACAAGGTTCCGCCGCCGTGGTTAATCGCCATGCAACGTTACGGGCCACCGCCCAGTTATCCGAATTTAAAGATACCTGGTCTAAACGCACCAATACCAGAGGGATGCGCGTTTGGATATCATGCTGGAGGTTGGGGTAAGCCCCCTGTGGATGAAACAGGACGTCCTTTATACGGCGACGTATTTGGTATCTCCCGTGCGCCGGGCGGAGATGCTATGGATGAAGAAATCGACCGAGGTATGTGGGGCGAGCCTGAATCAGAATCTTCCGGTGAGGAGGATGAGGACGAAGATGCGGAGGAAGGTGGCGAGGGTGAAGGGGAAGGAAAGGATGCGGACGGTGATGCGAGTGGACTGGTTACACCTGGCGCAGAAGGTCTGATAACGCCAAGCGGTATCACATCGATCCCGGCCGGGTTGGAGACACCGGAAACAATAGAGTTAAGGAAAAAGAAGATCGAAAGCGAAATGGAAGGAGGAGACACGCCTGCTCTGTACACGGTTTTGCAAGAACGACGAACGGACGGTCTTGGCGCCAGCATGATGGGTAGTACACACGTCTACGATATGACCGGTGCAGCAGGAGGTCAAGCGCCACCGTCTGTGATCGCTGCACGCCGTGGTGTCAGTGGCACAACGTCCGACGGAAGAACAGAAAAAGATGGGGCCGTTGAACTGGCATTAGATCCGAGCGAGTTGGATCTAGACTCTGAGGCAATGGCGTCACGATACGAAGAGACCATGCGGTCGCGACAAGCTCATTTGAGGAGAGAAGACTTATCGGATATGCTTCAGGATCATGTACAACGACAAAAAGTAACTATACATTTATATTTACCTGTTAGCTAACGAACGGTACTGAATTGGACGATTTTCTTTTTCTTTACAGAGTAAACGCAAACGGCAACAGGGTCAAGACTCAAAAGCTTCTAAGAAGTATAAAGAATTTAAATTTTAAACTTACTGAACTGACGTATTATTCGAATAAAAATTACTTATTCAAAGAAAGGATGAATCACACGTTATTGAAATGATACTACCTATGGTGGATTTCTTGTATAATGAATTACCGACGTTGCATTGTCCGAAACTTCTTAATTTAACGATATGTAAAAATTTTTCTAAACCTTATTGTAATATATTAATCTACGAAAAAACTATCGGGTATTGTTTAGTCACTTTATTTAAAGAATAACAAGTTATCGGAATTCACGCACGCATTTTTTTTTTATACAATATGTTTCTTTTCTAAGAGCATACGGACCTTCAATGTATACAGAGAAAATGTCATAAGTGGATACGATATATAATACAAAAACAATAAAAGACATGGAAGGGATATCGCGATTGTGAATCTGCTAATAGCGCTACCAATATCTAACCAACTTCCTTCAGGGGTGACACAGTACACGAATGGTAATGATAAACAATCCCCTAACAGGAGCACTGCTAAGAAAATGTTTGATGAGCCTATCATGTGGCTTACACAACCGACTAGCATTAAAGGTATGCTAATTTTTAAAAGTATCAATGAGAACATTATAAACGGCGAGAATACTGTGATAAAATGACGGGTCCAAGAAGGATCAAACGAGCTGATACTTGCCATGTTGCCAGTTCCAAAAAAGCACAGTAATGTATATAACATCTGTAATAAACAGTTGAGGATGCATAAAACTGAGATCAGTTGTCAAATAATTACGATGTAATTAAGTACTTGTACTTGAAAAAAAAGGATACAAAGATAGATGCTTTCAGTAATTCTTCCCTTGTTAAGGACTTCTTAGTACTCTGGTGACTTTGACTAAAATATGTGTTAGTTCGGGGCCAATATGATAGGTGTATTGCAAGGAATACAAAAAAGAAAGGCTCATAAGATGCTGATAATAATGCAAGTGGACAGAAAAGACCTAATATCACTCCGTCCATTCTTTTCTCTAATTTTGTAGAATAAGTGCAGATATGCAATGGCGTTGTGAATAAGAGTGCCCATGATATCCACCTTCGCCCATCTATGACCTCAAAGTACGTCAGTCCTGTAATTATTAGTCGAGAAATTTCTATTGCTTTTTTGTACTTCGATGGAATTTTTACAGCTACGATCGCAATCATTATGCATATGCTGAGAAGTCTGAAAAATACGAAGCTGATATAGAAATTATTTAACAGGATATGGGATAATTTCACGCATGTTCGACCTTACACGATGTAAACGCGCGGATAGGGTTCTACAACAGGTAACAGTGGGAAGATTGCTAGAGACAAAGCTGTCCAAAACAAATTCCTGGCATTCTTGAACACAATTCTTTGAATAATTGCAGTGCTTAACATTCCTATGCTTAGAGCAGACCTGTGTATTAAGCCCATGAACATTGTTGCTAATAACAAAATTATTACCGTGAAGTCTATCCATACTCGTTTACTATTTTTCATTTTCAAGTTCACGGAATTCCTAATTATACTTCTAATTGCTAACCAAAAGGATATTACAGATAAAGATGCATAACAGGGAAGTCTCCAATTTCTGCAATCTGAAACTATTTTTTTTTTTAATTAATAGTCTTTTCGAACAATTGTAAATAGTAATGGTAAATATTACCTTTGTGCATAATAAATATTGTGATTAAAATACAGACGAATGCGACATCTGCAACCCATAAAATTAAACGATTAATAGTAAGTCGCTCCCTTCCAGCTATTTTAACAAATAACAGTACTATCCATCCTAGCCACATTGTGGACAAATATATTAAAAATCGTGATCTTTGATACTGACGAAAGTATAACAAAGATTCTTTAGCTAGTTCAATTGTATCAACTGTCTCTTTCAACCTTCCTCTCGAATCTGTGGTCAGGTATTTCTCTAACACAGAAATTTTGTTATACAATTGTGCTTCTCTCCAGTCTGCAAACCCGTTGTCTTCACAATTCATTTCACGGTTTGCTTTGACTTGATGAGTTAATTGCTTCAAATTATTCAATAGAGCATTGTTCATGTATTTAAGATTGGTGGCATTTAAATATTGCCATGGCAGAACACCCTGGACAATACATGGTACATATAAATACACAGAAGAGACAAACATTACAATTTACAATACACTTAAATACTGTACATACTTCATTATTAGTGGGAACAGGAGCACCAATCAAACTTGATATCAATGGGGTGATATCTACTTGCTCCACATCTTGTCTAGAATTAAGTCGATTAATTCCAGCACCCCAAGTGATTAACGGAGTTTCTGTTTCATCCGTGGAACCACTTCCATGTGATCCCCAATCAGTCATTCCGTGATCAGCTGTGAAAACGTATGCTGTAGCATTATCTCCGAAAAAATTCTCTGTCATTTGTACAACTTCTTCTATTTTCCGATCGACATAGTTCACGTTATCAGTGTATTCTCTGTATTCAAATTTAATGTCAAGCTAATGATATCACAGATACATTAAAAACATAATTTTTCGGTGAACTCTTTTATCAAGAATCCGCATCGGTAATTTCTGGATACCTAGAATAGGGCTTCGCCGTATGCCCGGTGGTATCGCAACCGAGAAGATGAAGGAAAAGAATCACGCGATCGGAATGTTTTACTTTGTGAGCTTCTTCTCGAAGCCAATTCAGATACTTGTCAAACACCCAGGAATCCAAACGCCAGATTTGGCCCTTCATTATATCAAAGTCTTGCCATTCAGGTGGATAGCTGTCTCCCCTTATGTTGTCTTTTGCATCTATATTTAATAAATAAAATAAAAATTCACCAGTTACACAGAGCTTTAATTAGAGTACATCAAATTTATTAATACCTTTTGTGAAAATTGGTATAATGTCAGGACTTCCCCATGCCCATGAAAATTGGCTTTGATTAAAGATAGAGTCAAAATCAACAGGATTTTCCTTCCAGCCTTTAAAAATGGCACTAGGATCTTCATACAATCCTGCACAAATTGCAACAATGCCTGGCCTAGATTCTGTAGGCATTCTTGTATGAGATACTCCCCAAACACCTTTATCTGACATCACGTACCTGAAATTAAAATGAGCTCATTGTATACATTTAAATTGAAACACACTTTAAATATTGAATATATTAAGTTAATTACTTGAGGAAATTTGGTGATTCTTCAATGAAGGTTCTGAACCTTAAACCATCAGCCACAAATAAAATTAATCTCTTTGCTGGAGCATTTTTCAAAACTTCTACACTTGGTAAGTCTGCTATAATAGGCGAGTGGAAATTCACATCAAGTACACCCCATAACAGTATTAAATGCATTAAAACACCCCATATTATAAATGCATAATTGTGGTTCATTCTACTAAACCTGTTATCATACATTTCTTTGGCCAAGAAATATGATTTCATTGAACGCATGATGTATTATTTTTAAAGCATCCTTCCTTCTTTACTTATAGTCTGTAATATAAATATTTCTAATTGTAAATTTTTAGAATTATAGAGGTATCTTTAAACAATCAATTCTATTTAACAAGATTTATCAATATGCATGAATTGCAGCGTGAGGCTATCATTAATTCGTGGCCATATAATAAAAATAGTACTTAACGTTTCGTGAGTTTGTAAAAATAAGCATTAATAGCGAAACAAACATTCAATAATATAAACGTATGTCTAACATAAGTACATATCATGTCAAATGATTTCTTTTAATATTGAGAGGATCTAAAGTAACGCGAATCGCGTGGATCGCACGACTTCTCTGTCATGTCATAATGGCCGTCTGCTACACTCTGAAGTAATATCAGAGGTGAGGTATTTGTTTTCAAATATAAAATACAGCGTGCAATTCAGATTTTTCGTGATGACATCCAGTACGAACGACATCTCTTGTAATAATATCGAATTTATTATATTTCATAGATAAATATGAATGAAACAGACAAGAAAAACAATCAATGTACTTACTTGGCGAATCATTTGTAGTCACCTGTGTACGTTTTAAGTACATATTACAGTGTTTTATGTGCATAATAATTTTCAGGTTGTAACTGGACTGAACACGTGTGATTTTTTAACAGCCTTGAAAATATCAAGAGAAAATGGTAGTCGGCGTTTTTCCGGCTCTCAAATTGGGAGTGTTATTTGTTAAACAAATTAGTAAACCCTTAGCAAAGTTTCTTGTTAACCAAGCGAAAAATCATCCAGTATTTAGGACTTACTTCATCATACCTCCAGCACAGTGTAAGTAACAAAATTTCATGTCAGTATTTTCACAGTTTTCAATTTCGTCATGATATAATCGAGATTGATGTCATTGATAATAATAGTAATTTAAGCTCCTCATACCTGTACAACTATATATGTTATTATTATGAATTAATTATAGTTTATCACTGGGCCGAAGTAAAAGCTAAAATGTATGTAATGAATCTTGGAAAGCCCACGAAAGTTGCAAAGTTAAACGAAGCTATGGCAATAGAGTTAGGAGCAAATCTAATGGGTGAGGTTATCATATTTAGCGTTGCTGGTGGTTGCTTGGTGTTAGAATATAATCGTCAGGTAGCGAAAGAAGCAAAGAAAGAGGAAGCACGTCAAGAACAGATACAGAAGTTTACAAATGACATTGAAAACTTGAATAAAATTACATCTCAACAACAAGCTGAAATTCTGTATCTACAAGAAGCTGTTAAGACTTTGTCAAAGCATACAAAACACAAACTCCCTTTAAATCCTATAGCAACAGAAGTAAGTGGTCAAAAACAACAATTGCACACAAATGGAAAACAAGATTTGAACACTAGTAAGATAATAAACATGGAAACACATAGTAGAGGGAATGAGAATCAGTCATTGATTGAGACAGCTATTATATACTACCAAAATGATGTAAGAGCTGATAAACTCAATTAACTGTAATTTTATAATTTTATTAACAAATGTGATAGTTTAGGTATAATACTAATAATATAGAAAGCAACAAATAGTGAATGTATTTATAATGCTGCAGTGTACATAAGGAATATTTTGTACATAATTGAAAGCATAGTTTCATGAAGCAACATGTCATCCCTGCATGCTTGGAAAATATCTAGTATTTTCTACTTATACTTTTACAGATGTAACTTATTTTTTATCATCAATGGATTCTCAAAAGCAAATACATTGTTTTAGAAAAATTTATACAATACATAAAATGTTTTTAAGTCTAATATTTTGAACAGTAATTTAAATAGATGATTTGTTATAACTCTGACAGGTTGCTTAAATTCATCTCAACTGTATTATACACAAAGTACAATAATAATAATGATAATAATGACAATAGTGTGTATTAATATATACTTAATTATGCGCATGTTCATAAGAGATTTTCAATTCAGATTTATTCCTTCCTTTAACATTTTCTGCAATGTATGAATTCTTGATTCCAAATTCTCAAAGTCGATTTCTGCAAGGAAATTCTTTTCACTTTTTGGATTAGAAATATTGTATGTGATTGAATCTTTAATACTAACTTGAATTTTTTGTCCTTGTACACGTTTTCGTATTTTGAGAAGGAGAGCTGCGAACTCTAAGTGATTCCATTGAGCTGCCTATAGACATTAATGTTTCAAACAGTAATTCTTGATTTGAATAAGAAAAGTATTCTGATATTTATTAATACCTGGTGACAAACTAGATCTAGAAGTTTTAACGCGACTAGAAATCGAAGAGGAACGACTTCTACTTTGTCTACAATTTGTATAATTTGTTCGTACAGAAGGGGAATGATTATAACGTTTCAATGCAGGGCTACCATCTCCGGGTTTTCTACCAGCAAATTCTGTGAGTTGTTGCATCTTCAAGAGTAGGGCTGTATTTTCAGCCTTAAGTTTTTGAATTTGTATTCGAAAAGATACACGTTCCTTGGCAACATTACTTTCTAAAGTCTTGATAGACCCTAATAAATGCTTTAAACCTTTTCCTAGATATTAAAAACGTACTTAAAAGACTTATCTACAAACAATTAATATGTTTGAGACTACCTCCACTTGTAAGTCTCTGATTCTCTTGAATAAGTTTCTGATTTGCAATTGTAAGATGTTCGATTCGTTTTTGTAAATTTTTATTCACTCCTGTGGATTGCAACTTTTCAATTTCAGCTTGTAATCTCCTGATGGTAGCTTGTAGTATTATTGGATCGGGTAAACCACAGTATTCCAGAGGTAATGGGTAATGGATTCTTAAGAAGGTGATTGTGTTGGCAAATACTTTACTTTTTTTAAAAACAGTCTATTTGTACAGATTTTGTGAATTTTCTTGTATTCAATACATCTTTACATACAGACTTTGAAACATTCAAGACCGATAACACAGTACATGAGTAATGCAAAACTGTAATTGTTCAGCCTATGAGTCACTACATGGGTCACATACAAACAATATGTAAATATTGTTGACTTCTGTCTTGTAATGACACATCGGTTTTGAATGTGAGTGATGATTGATGAACTCAAATCTAACTATATCTAATTTGCCTTTATATAACATTAACATACGTTAAGAACAGATTTCACAAAATCTGTTAACTGGTGCATACCTATCAAACTCTACCGTGTAAGTTAATATAAGGTACCGACGATTGTTTGTTGCATTACCCAAACTTGAACACAAGTTACGCTCATGCCTACGTGCACGTAGAAATTCTAGATCTTCGAATGTAAGGAGATCCAAGGTTATAGATTCACTGGTCTGCAATTGAATTCTTATTGAACTTCATTTACTTCACTTCATCAGATAAATTATAAATTTTACTTTCAACAGTCCAGACTGCAGCATAGCAACAAACACATCGAAGTGCTTGTAATTCCCCGTTTTGTGTGTCAAGTTTTCAATATCTTGAACAGTAAAAACAATAAAACACAATCCTAAAATAATAAACACTTAATAAGAAAGTCAAATAACAAACATGCAGCATCGTAGGAAGATTGCCAATTTTCGCCGGTGTATTTATCAGTGACAGTCAGGTCCAAATTTCGCTGGCATCCCTTAAAAGCGGTAATTTTTATCTTGACGACGTACTCTTTACCGTTTTTGAACGTGTAAGTTGTTACTAATGATGGACCAACTTCGTTCATACTTAAGAACAGACATTAAAGTAATATTAATACAGACCGTAAAAATATCGAGATTGATTCTTTGATTCGAAATATATATAATGAATGAACTTAATAGGTCCACTTGTTGAAATGTCACGTCGTTTATGTGATAATGGAACAACGTCGTTCATACTTAAAAACGACCATTAATGTAACATTAATCGTGAAACTATTGAAAAGTGTTATTTAATCCAAAAAATATAACGAGAAAACTGAATCGACGCACTTGTTGACATTTCATACCGATTTACGCAGCGTTATCACACATCGAACACATCCACCGCGAGCAAGAGCACAACCAAGCACAACTGAGCACAACTAAAATAGTGACTCGAGTGTGAAGATAGGCTGAGATAGGCTGATGGCTGATGCGTAACTGTCATGTCAGTGACATCACGATGTGGTATTAGTCGAAGAATGAGCCTGATTTACACTTTAACAATTAATTAAACCAGCAAGAATGTGGTCCTTTTTTTCAAGAGACCCCACCAAGGATTTTCCTTATGAAATTGGCGAACCAGTTCCCGGTTTGGATGACAAAAACATCTGGACGTTGCACAGGGCCAAAAAAAAGGTACCATAACCTGGCACGGTAAAGTCATAAATTACGATACTTGCTAGATATTTACATTTCTGTACCTTTATGTTATTTCTCTTATGTTTAGAGTGTGTATATCTGTATAATTTGATAAATTTCCGTACAGGGCTCGACAGGAGGCGAAGATGTTTCTGTATTTGTATTTGAGGCTAAAAACGGCAATGAACATCTCCTGGATTTAGCACGTTCAGCAGTGAAGAGATTAAAAACCCTTAGGCATCCTAGTATACTTGCATATCTCGATAGCCTTGAGGTATAATGACAATACATTATAAACTGTTACTGTATTGGGCGAATGTGAAAGTACTATTGATTTTCAATGATTACTTACAACAATTATTTTAGATTTTTTCCTATCTAATTTTAGATTTAACACTACAATCATTTCCTTGCATTTTCTTTCAACCAATCAAAATCCATTGGGATTAACAACAAATAATCTGGGTTTTCTTTTAATAAATTGGTAACATAGTTTAATTTCAAAACCTTATTTCTTATTGGATGATGTTAAAAAGCAAACATAAATATTATTGAAACAACGTAGGCTTTAATTTCCATGAAAGTAGATATTGAATTAAAATAAAAATAGTGGATTACACATTGGCACACCTAATAATCTCAAATGTTTCTTATAATTTCAGACTGAAAAAATGGTTTATTTAGCAACTGAACGAGTGGAACCTTTGTGCAACCGTTTGACAAAAAACTCTAAAGGTGATGAAGAATCCAAAGAAGAGTTATATTTTTCTTGGGGAATATTTCAAATTACAGTGTGTATGAATGCAAACATTGTAATCTCATATATTGCAAAGTACAGATATTAATTCATATTGTTGACAGAGGGCATTGAACTTCTTAAATAATGATGGTAATCTAAGACACAACAACGTCAACTTATGGACGGTTTTTGTCAATGAGGAAAGTGGCGAATGGAAACTGGGAGGAGTTGAATATATGACAGCAGTAGATGCTCCTTACAATACACTGCCATCAACATTTCAAGCATACTATCCCCCAGATACTAAGGATAATGTAAAACCAGCCACTAAATGGTAATAAAAGATTCCTGGTGGTAGAAATATAATGTATCATTTGTGCATTACTTTCTGTTAGAACTAAATTATTTTTGTTCATAGCTACAGTTCTTATTTAACACATAAAGCATTGACAAACGAAATTCTCTTGCTTGGTAAAATAATAAAAGTTAGTTATCACGTTATTATCGAAATTTACATTACAATACCAGCTTTTCTATATGTAAAAATTTAGGTTTATTGTTAACGCTATGAAACTGATGAATAAATAAAAAAACAGCTCGGTTGACATGTGGGGACTTGGATGCCTGATCTGGGAGACATATAATGGTGCACTGACTGCAGACACACAATTAAAAAACACTGACAAAGTAAGAATCTGAGATTAATATGAAAATTCGAAATAATGGTTCACGTCTGTCTACAAATAGTAAAAAACATCGATTACAGATTCCGAAACAGTTACAAACTGTGTATCGAGAATTGACCAGCGGCAATGCTGAAGGAAGACCAAATCCTGCCGATGTGATAGCTCGTTGTCGTAGTAATGGGGGATTTTTTAAGAATGGGCTTGTAGACGCACTTTTATTCTTAGAAGAGATTCAAATGAAAGAGAGAGGGGAGAAAGGTCGTTTCTTCTCTCAACTCGCTGGTCAATTGGAGTCGTTCCCGAATGGTGTTGGCAGATATAAAATTTTACCGCAATTGCTAGCCGCTTTCGAGTTCGGTGATGCTGGAAGCGCAGTGTTACCACCTCTTTTACAACTTGGTTGCCAATTACCTGATGCTGAATATCAGAAAAGAGTTGTACCGTGTGTAGTAAAGTTGTTTGCATCGAATGACAGAGCAACCAGATTGAGATTACTGCAGCAATTAGACAGATTTGTTGATCATTTACAACCAGCAACTGTTAACGAAGCTATCTTTCCACAGGTAATTGTGATCACAATTTCTTTTTTATTAGTGAAAAATACAGAATGCTTGAAATATATGTTAACATTATACGTTGTAGGTAGCCAGAGGTTTTTTAGATACAAATCCTGCGATTAGGGAACAAACCATAAAATCTGTTGTACATTTAGCACCGAAATTAGACTATAATAATCTCAATGTGGAAACGTTAAGATATTTTGCGAAACTTCAATCCAAAGATGAACACGGCGGCATACGTACTAATACTACAGTTTGTTTAGGAAAAATTGCTCAGCACCTTCATCCTCAGATCAGACAAAAAGTAATTTAAAATTTAAATATGAAATTACCGAATCTATAATCGTAGCTAAAAATCATAATTAATATATAATCGTAGGTATTAATCGGAGCGTTCATAAGAGGTACAAGAGACACATTTCCACCAGCTAGGACAGCAGGTATTTTAGCATTGGCCGCGACGCAGCAGTACTTTCTGCTGCAGGAAGTTGCGAATCGTATTTTGCCAGCTTTGTGTCCGCTCACTACAGATGTGGACAAAGGAGTGAGGGACAATGCATTTAGAACCATTCGAGGATTTTTATCTAAGCTTGAGAGAGTATCTGAAGATCCTGGGTTGCGGGAATCTATGGGTACTTGCATGAAATCCCGTTTTTTATATAAAACAAATGTACTAACAAGTAAAGGTATTAATATTCACTTACATTTAAATGATTTAATTGCAGAGGCAGATGTAAATACAGCAACACCTAGTCTTAGTAATGCGGCAGCAACGTGGGCAGGATGGGCTGTAACAGCGGTCACAGCCAAATTTTATCGTAGTCAATCGGATACACCTAAGTCATCGAATCCTCATAATGCCTCGAGAATCTTACTAAATAAACCTGCATCACTAGGTACTTATAATTCCTCATTTTTTTGTCGTTGTACACTTCATTGTTAGATGTTATTCTTAAGGCACGATTCAATTATAGAACAGGCCAGCAGTTCACAAAGTAGCGCCAGTACAACTGCCACGACAAGCAGTGCGACGAGTATGACGTCACTGGATCACGATCATGAGCATGACCTACAACATGCCACAAATACGAATTCAGATTGCGACTGGGATTGTTGGGATGCTGACAATTGGGGTGACATGGAACAACAGCCTTCTACCACCTCGACATTTGGGACACGCAACGTCTCGCCATCCTCGCATTCGTCCAAGGCGAATGATCAGTGGACGAATCTGGAGGAAGAACCGGTTTGTCTCGACAATCTAAATATGCCATGTTTTATGTTCGAAAAAGAGCAAAACTTTAAAATGTTATTCGTAGGAGGAAGAAGCAGCACAAAGTATAGAGGACAAAAATGAATCTACCGAGGTAGTTTGGGAGGACTCAGAGTTTCAACCTTTAGAAGATTTTCAACCATTAGAACAACCAGGTATGGTTGTATTATTGATATAGGATTCAAGTTATAGAATGATATTCATTTACTTGTTTTGTTATAAGGAAATACTGAAAGTACCGGTACGCTTAATGGAAATAATAAATTGGAAGAAGCTAGAAGAAAACGTGAAGAACGCAAACTAGCCAGGCAAAGGCAAATGGAAGCCAAAAGGGCAGTGAAATTAAGAAATACTACCACTGCAAAAAAGATCTAATTTAAACGCTACAATTCTTTAATTACACTCGAGTATATGAAACACAATTTTAATTATGGATTGAATTATGATGGACGAGAAATTATTTTTTTTTCTATTAATGGTATGATCTGACTGTTTAAAATGTCGATTTCCAACTGTTTCTCCAATATCATTTATTATACATTGTTAGAAAATATTATACATCTATCCAGTAAAATATAATAACATTATTTTTACAACCTGTGTAACTCGGAACACTCTGTTTTATTCATTCAATATATTTTTATTCTATTTCATAACTCTTGTAAAAAAGAATACAAATATTTGTTGAAAGCAACTGAAACAGAATTAGGGGCTATTCTCTGAGATTTACAAAAATGGTAAAAGATTTTTATTATTTGCTTTTTTACATTAGAATATGCAACTTTAACTAATTTCAAACAACAGCCTTTTGTAAAATTGTTAAAACATTGTTTATTGTCATAAATGAGATTGCTCTGTAGTGTTTTCATTAGGAAATCTGATATTGAGATAATTAGCATTGCTAGGTTCACGTTTGAAACCTAGACTTTCATAAAATGGTATCAGATGGTCTTTACAATCTAATGATAATTTGTAACAGTGCAAGTAACGTGCTAGTTGCAATACTATATTTACTACTAATTTGCCCAGATGTTTACCCCTATATTTGTTATTTACCACCACATCTTCTAAACGTCCCCTCTGCAACAAATTTCTCATTTGAAGTATCCCAAATTTATACGCAAAAGAACAATAAAAAAGAAATAGTAACGTACCATGGCACAATTATGAATAAACTTTTGTTCTGCGACTAATGTAGCACTTGCTATAATCTTTCCAATGCTCACATCTTCTACCACAATAATATAGTAGCTACCAGTGGTTCTCATCATATGAAAACGATCTATATGTTTTAAAACGATATCAAATATTTTCTCATAATCATACTACTAGTTGATCAGAATTTAATTTCAAGGAACTTACTCAGGAATTGTTCTCTATTAACATTTCCAACTTCAGTCAGTTGAGTTAACAGTTGAAGAAAACCTGTCACACAAAAAATACATCAGAATTAACAATGTACATACATTTATTTGTAGCTACAACATTATTTCAAGATTAATTTACCTCTATCGTAATCACCAGACTTTAAAGGTCTGATTAATAAACCTTCGATCTTTGACAATGACAATCGCTCCAATATATTTATGTTAAACAATTCCGTTTCTGCATCCCCGATAGTCGATCCCTGGATAAACATATTGAACGAAGGTTAGTTTAAATGCCGCAACATACGACTGATAAAACTGGCGTGATAAAATGAAAATTGTAAATTCCTGAATGTCAAAAATTTGTTGCTATACCTTCCTCAACAAACTAACACTGTTAAAATATTATCACATAAAACACACAGACTTTTCTTGATATCAAATTCGAAATTAGATTAGAAAGTATACAACCTGTATAGTATTCATGGTAATTGCAGATACTGTTCTAGACTTCCCGTTAAAATTAATTTCGTCTCAATGCTTGTATCTTCTGCACGTGTCCAGTTTTTCGCATACACAGAATTATACACTGAATTCTCTGCAAATGTTCCAAACGACCCTTCGTCGTGGCATAAGGTGACACTTTCACGGAACTGACGTGAGCTCCTTCCAGATTTTTATGCTTTATATCAAGGAGTGGATTAGTAATGTTGACATTGAAATTCCGTTCTTTTCAGTAGCGTAAAACAGGTAGCAGTAGAACAAGTCCTAGTCCTACCTGTTGCCAGACTGAACCTAAGCTTTCATGTGGACTAAATGAACATTTTTTCTCAAAACGGATGTTAACGTAGAGATCAGTAGAGATTAATATCTATTAAGTCTATTAATAACAGCTATGTAAGATAAATCCATTAATAACAATTGTAAAAGTTATGGAATATCTTTTTATATAATGAAAACGAATCGTCAGTGAAATTTGTAATTCCCGCAAATTTTGGTCAATCGTCTCCTATGTATCTAATCTCTCAGCATTAAATGTTTTCAAGTAATTTCGCAACTATTCTCCTTCAAAAAGCTATTTATTTAAATATTTAATATAAAATTTAAAATATATAAACATAAACATATGTATAAATTCCAAACAATATCCGTCATATAAGATATACACGATAAATAAATATGTATGTCGGGACTTGATTGTAGTTTTGCGCGTTAATTTTGAATATTGAAGTTTGTTAATAATTTATTGATTATTTCAGATGTTCAGTTTTGATGTTTCATTTATCGATCCTAAGTTTTGTAAATAATTTTATTAATAAATTTATCGTTGAGTTCAGCCGTGTGTACTTTTATTTATAAATCGTTGAAATTCTAATTATACATCATACATCTCACATACACGGGGTCTCTTCAGCATGCTTCGGGGGCTCCGTGACCCCACATTCTCAGCCCACGTGATCAAAGGCGCCTCCACCAGGGCCGCCGTGCAGGGTCTATGGCGCCTCCACCGGGGCTCCGTGACCCCACGCTCTCACCGCGCAGGGTCTATGGCGTCTCCACCGGGGGCTCCGCGACCCCGCGGTCTCTCCCCACGTGATCAATTGCGCCTCCACCGGGGCCTCCGTGACCCCACGCTCTCACCGTGCAAGGTCTATGGCGCCTCCACCGGGGGCTCCGTGACCTCACGTTCTCACTAGAGATGATGTGAACTGCTACTTGTTAATCACTCGTGATTCGATCACGTTCGTTCTCAATCACGGTAATTTTTCACAGTGATTTGTGATTTCTCGTGATCGTTTCTCATTGGTGGAGAAACCTAACAGTTCTTTACACGCAACACATAATCTGTATATTTTATATTTTATATTAACGACATCAAAACAAAAATTCGAGTTATATCGTATAAAGTGAAAGAATAATTAGAAACAATGAAGAATAATGAATAAATTAATGATTATAAATTATAATCTACATGTTACCTAGCAAATCATTCTTTTAGAATTTCTTGTTTTTTCTACTGATTTTTACAAACACAGTAATGTAATTCATCGTAAAATCATATTGAATACGTTTTTCTGTTTAAAGATTAATGACTTACGATTTCAGTGAGCAAATTCACTCAAGATAAAAAAATCGCAATCACGGTCGTGAATGAAATTAAATCACGATCGTGATCGTGATTCGGCGATCACTGTGATAAATCACCGTTAGTGATTTTGCACGCCATCTCTAGTTATATTCTTTTCAAAGTTGTCCAAATCTGAACCAATAAACCGTTTAACTACAATCGAGAACATTCAACGATACGATATTCTTCGATATATTTTAGTAGAATGCCGATTATATAATTTTGTTCCATGACTATGAAGTGTGCAGACCGTTGAATTTATCGGTGAAGGTTCGTAATTTTGTCTTGGTTGAACAAAAGGAAAAGGTAAATATTACTTTATATTCCCTATTCAGCTTTGTAAAACTTTAACACGGTTCATTGTAATTGCGTTTTAACAATTAAATAAATCATTTTATAGAAGTTTAAAGAAAGATAATGAAACGAATGGATTAGTAGCGTATATATTAATTTATATAAACCGTAAAAATTATTAATAAAAGTGAGACTCGTTTCTTGTACCTGTAAATATAACAATGCTAAATATTTAATGCACGATATAACTTTACAAAAGTGTCATAAATTAAATAATACACTAGTTACTCACAAATATATGGTTGAAAGAGAATGAACAAAATTTCATTATTTACTAATATATTGGTTTAAAGCAATCTTAAAAATCTGTTGCTATTATCATGTTGTAATTTCTGTAATATAAAAATGTATTTGTCAAAATATGCTCTTTAACATATGGCATCACAAGGGATCCTTATATTAATAATTTTTTGTTTTATTATTATACTCATTTGTACTCATCAAGTGCAAAGTAACATAATCATTATTATGCATATCATAACAATCGTAAAAATCTATAATGCTTGTAATTTTCTTAAGTATATAAAATACATTTTGTTGAAAATATGAGAACATAGAATAATAAAAAATAACGGTTACATCATTTTTAGACATGTCTCAAGAAGCCGTTAAACGACCTATGAAATATCCATATACACTCTCTGCAAAACTTGCGCAATTCCCATATGCATATTATTTCCATAACAAAAGCAGTTGGGTGTTCAAATATTGGGCAATCAGCTTTTTCGTATGTCTACCTGTTTTCTATAAAATCCAGAAACTCAGTAAGTATTTAGCTTTAACAATATTAAAGAGTATTCTATCATAATTAATATTTTTGTTATTCTCATTTTCCTTTTTTCATTCTAGGTAACCATCCAGACAATGTGAAGAAATGGGATGAAATACATAAAAAAGAATTTTCAGGAGAGGTTCATCACTGAACTGTACACGATAATAGTGTAGTATGATGTATAACAAATATGTAGGAAGAAAATACATTTAATCTTCATACATTAAGCTTAAATTCATAATAGTTCCATGCATTTCTTTGTATCTACCACTTTCTCGAGCATTGTGTTATAAACAGATTTCAATTACAAATCTATTTTAAAAGTTTATTACCAAATTAATTGTATAAAACGTACATGATTACAAAGAACTGTACCTACAACTGCTGTACAATATAGAGAATAATAATAATTTGTACCGTAGATTTTGTGTAGGGCCAGCCTAAAATTTTTAATTTTCTTAAAATAGGCTGATCATTTGGAAACAAATATATATATGTAAAAAAAAAGGGGGTAAGAAAAAATCATAAGTACCATTGATACGTTTAACAATTTGGCAGAATCGAACATGAGAATTGTTTAAATAAAATTTCCAGTTTCCAATGAGTGCGTGCAATATAGGACGTGTTATACTCGAATCTCTGATAAAATCTATTGTTTCTTATAATAAATACACGTGTAGACGTAGTAACTTGTTACGTATTAACGCGAAATATCGCATGAATATTTTCCTCGATAAAAAAAACCGTCAGTCGTGTTACCACGTTATCGCACGCCGTGTGTTTTAAATATACCTACGTAAAAGGCAGGTAATGAGTAACACGTCACGTAATGCGTGGACTTCGTGTAAGTAAAAGCGTCAAGGGTCTAGAATACCTTTAGGAAAGCCCTTGAAACGTTTGCAATTGTGAAACTTAAACGTATGATGCGATCGTACACAGTGGTGCTAAAGTAATAAATAATTATTATAATGTAAAAAGACTGTCCGATAACAAAAATTTGTTTCCATTATAATAATACTAAACGCAAAAAAAACTATATGTTGTACTGGCTCGAGCGAACTGAAAGTTATTTGCTCGCTCTATATAAAATGCTCTACGTTCATGTACTTCGAAAAGTCCGTGAGAGCAATTATACCATGCGTAAAATTCTAAGAATAATACTGTGCATGTTTTCTTCCTGGTTTTATTTTAGCAAGCCTAAGAAAAATAATTAAGGACGTTCGATAAATAACGAAGAAAGAGAGATAAACACTTTAAACGTATATGCCTAGCTTGCAATTATACATATATCTATAGCATTTCTTCTAATCCTTAGCAAAACGAAGTCTTTTTTTTTTTTCGGTAATATATACTTTACAGAATATCTTTCTCGCATGGTCACGATTTTATACACGGTTTATACTGTCCTGGGTACCAGTGTAAAAATCCGCACGTTATTTCAAGGTACATCCAATTTACATATTGGGAATAAGAATTAATACCCAATAAGTATAATATCGAAATGTGTATTCCGATTCTATCTTGTCTTTTGAAGTTCATCAATCTCTTCGTCCTCACTATCTGCGACGTCAGTTTCGTCCAGTCTTGGTTTTTTCGCATCCGGTGGCCGCGCTACCTCCTCATCATAATTGAAACCAAGTTCTCTGCATCGTTTCTCAATGTACTTCAATAACCTCATACCTGCCCTGTATACGTAACTATTTTTAAAATGACATAGTCGAACGCTCATATGTTTAATTAGTTGGATGTGTTCGGAGGCTAAAGATTTTGATTATACTTCAATGATTACTGCTAGCGTTTCCACTGCAATGACTTTGTTCGTTTCTTCAGTTGCACGATGTCTCAGTTGTATTCTGAAGATTGAATTTCTTTAAGTAAATAGTAAATTTTACGAAATTATTGTTATTTGATAAAGCAACAAAATGCATTCAAGTTCTTATATATTGGATTATTTTATAAATAACGTTTCTTCACATAAAACATTTTACAATTATACGTATATTATGCCATTATATACACCTAATCATGATTAAATTCAAACAGCAAAAGCAGTATTAACGTAGCACCTCAATATTGGTAGTTCATCTCGCAATCTTTGGCATCCGAACTTATGTATTAAAGTATTTACGCCGCCACTGTTACTTACTTGTATACTGCACTATGCTCCTCATTATATGCCTGACAATTAGCGAATACTAAGTGACAATCACTGAAAAACTGTTCCGGCGTCTCATATTCCCCATTATTCAATTTATACTTGATTGTACCGAAATCCATAGGATTGGAGATAATCTCATGGTAATCTGGGACTTCATCTTTTGTAACAGGTGATAGGAAAGGCCATGAATCCCTGTGATGCCGGATATCAGTGAGCAAATCTTGTAACCGTGCCATGGGTCTTTTAACTGTTCCCCTATCTACTTCTTGTTCTACTTCAGCAGCCCTCTTTGTAGCTCTCCTGGTCTGCCTTGGTTCAGCGTCCTCTGAATTGCTGCTGTCTGTATATGAACACGTCTCTAGTTAAACATTTGATCTTTTCGTTCAAACGGGACGCAATTAATAGCACAAACAAAACATTACCACAAGAATTTACATAGAATAAGAATACATCTTTTTGACAAACAATAAACATTTATTACAGATTGTGGTTTTTATGCATTATAAAACTCTTTAACAGAGGAAACAAATTTCTGCGACTTAAATATCCACAGGTCGATTCGCGATAATGATTCTGAAACTGTAACCAAAGATTTCTCTGCAAGGAAATCGACACCAATTTACCGGTACTGTATGAGAAACTTGAAGACATTTCTCGATTGCTTTACTTCAATAGCAGAATAAGGGCCTTTTGCAGATACATGCAATGAAGCCTTACGTACTTGCCATTATAGATAGACTGTACTAATGAATAATGCACGAATAAATGAAGCAACCTATTATCTAATCAATATTAATGCACTGTAAAAAGAAAAGATTCAACGAAAACGTGAATACTAAAACAAAGTAGAATGAAGTCACAATACAGACCGTCCCAGTCTGTGGATTCTGTAGTGAGGAGGCTCTTGGCAAAGCCATGGATGCGAGAGCGTGCTGCTGCAGCGCACTGTCTCTCCTTGTCCCTTTCCCTTTCGCGCCCCCTCACTAACAACACAATTCAAACTAAGAAACTGATTTATTATATTAATATTTAATATTAATAATAAAATGGTACAATGTATTTTAATGTTTCTGAAACTTACTGCAATATTTCCGGCACCCATTACGCGTCTACCATACTTTCAATTACTCACCATGTTTTGTGCCGCTCCTCCTATCTTTCCTGTCCTTGCAATCCAAACACATCCATCTTCCACGGGGAGCCCTCATTATCGGTGGTTCTATACATTCTACATGATAATAGTTTGGACATGCATCGCAACTGATTAGCTTTCCACCGCTCCTGCATGCAGTGCATACGCTTATTTGACTACTTCTGAAATATAATTATTATTCTGTCACATACACGTAACTCGATCGACGATCAATGAGTTCGTAATGAATTGTCTTAGAAAAAAGTTCTTACAAATTCTCATAACTCGTCTCATCTTCCGGTGCATTGTCTTCATGGTCTTCTTCCTCTTCACTTTCTAGAACACGTTTGGCTCGATTATGTCGTGTCTCTTTAGTTAGTATCACTTCCTCTTCCAATTCATCCTCGAATTTCTTTCGCTTTTTAATCTTCCTCTTCGACTTGGTCGGTGGTTTACACGATTTGCAATACCAATCTCCGTCCGGTACAGCCTATAAACAGAAAAACAAAGGTTAAGCATCGTGTATACAGACTGTGTAGTTTTCTTTTACAGAAAAAATACTTGCAGCCAGTTTTGGTTTTAAACAATACAAATGGTGGCCTTTGTTACACCCGTCGCAGAGTAACATTTTCTCAGCGTCTTTTCGCCGTCTGCATATGAAACACTGAGCGTTCAACGCACTCTTATCCCATGCGATGCTGTTCTCTAATGTACTCAAATGCAGAAATAATTGTGACCAACTGGTCGACGCCATGAGCGATTGTTCCCATCTTTCCCTGGTGTCGTCGTTAGCATGTTTTTTCTCTTTTTGGTCAACGCCCAACGGTCTCTGGAAGTACTTCGGTTCGATGGCTTGGGATAATTGTAAAATAGCGCAAGCCATCTGTTTTATGGTCACCTGTTGCTTTAGATCGGGAAGTGGTTCGCTTTCACTCGGTGGACCCAAGTATTTCCCTGAATCTTTGTAAGTCTTTATGTTAATGCTCCCAACCTCAGAGTCCGGAGTACCTGGCCTGCTATGCTTAGCTTCATTTTTAACTTTATCGAGCGTTGCGTTGTAAGGTGTATCTATGTCCGCCTCGTTTCCACCATATATTAATTTATCACATTGTTTATCATAGTGCCTGTTACTAATTGCACTCCTCCACGCATCGCGATTATTTACCTTCAAACTTCCCAAACAACCCGCTTTCATTTTGTCTTCAAGATCCAAGATAAAATCTCGCAGAGTTAATTCGAAAACATCGTCGACAGGCGTCTCGGGAGGGAAGTTCAGATTAGCATTTTCGTATTTACTTTTCTTTGACGATTTACCAGGCTGTCCCTTGATAGGTTCTGAAAACTGCATCCAAAGTTCCTTTGTAACGCGTTGAACTGCATTTCTAAGCACGTTATCAATATACAACACCGATTACGAACATATTACAAAATACTCACAACTTCTGGATTAAGTTTCTGCCTGGGGCATTCCTCGATAACAGACATTAAACTCGTCATTTCTTGCACAATGTTATTTCTGAGTTCTCCTTCCCGAATGCCTCGTTTACTCAAACCATTCACCAGAGCTTCTATATCCTCTCGTGTTCCAAAGAAACTCCATTTCTGTTCTGGTCTTTTCCAATGAACCGGGCACTCCTTATCCCCTGTACACGCCATTAAATTCTTCTTTATATCGGATAGTTCTTGCTTAAATTCTTTTCTAGGTATCACGTCCTTCCTCGGGGATTTGAGTCCATTTTTGTCAGAAAATGATACTATTTTCTTTGGAGACTTCTTCGCCTTTTTGAAACTATTTTCTTTATCGCTAAATTCATCTTCAAATTTATTTCTCAAATATGCATACGTGGATTCCCCATCTTGCAATTCAGGTTGATAAGGTGTACCTTCGGGGAGGCAAGGACCTAGAGAGAATATATCGCTATCCACGAATATTCCTAGATACATGAAATATACAGCTTATTCAATTGGCTCCTTCGATTGTTTTATTAAACTCAAATAGCGTAAGAAACATGCATTTACCTGGTATAGATAAAAGTCTCCAATACCTACGATAGGCTCTATCAGATCCCAAGTAAAGCATCATTTGATCGTCTTTAGATGCTTGCTGAAGCTCTTTCAACCTGATCTCGTATTCTTCTTTCTTCTTTTCTTCCTCGCAGTTGCCACGGGTGACTTTTTTTGGTAAAGCTTTAGCGTCTTTATCCTTCTCGCGCTCTCGCATTTTCTCTCTCTCTTCCCTCTCCTTCTTCTGCTCAGCCAACAAGAAAGATCTCAGTTCTTTTCTTGCTTGCTGAAGCTTCTCGTGTCTCTCCTCGATCACATCTCGTACCGAGGCGAATGTGAGCAACTGATTGATCAGGCATGTCGCCACTTTCAGTTTGTCGTCGAAGTCAAGTTCGTGAACGCTGCGATGGCTTAACTGTCTTAGCACATGCGCCTCGTTTATCCTCATAAACAACGCAGGATCATCCTGATGCGTGTATCCTCCTGAAAACAAGAAGAGGATTACACAATACCTGTACCGTTTCAATTTGTCGAACAGCTTTTAAAGCCTACCTCTCTGAGAATACCTCCATTTAGAAGCTACTTCACCCATTCGCCCTCCAGAACTTAACAAGTGCTGCCTACAGATCTCGCTCAAAGTCACATGATCCAATGTTACCTCAGACAGCTTGTAACCCTGATACGTCTGACTCCAGGTGGAAGCAATCGTAGCAAGTTTTACCGCTTTTGTCATCGAGGAAGCTCCTTCATTGGTGCTGATATCATTTACTACTGTATCAGATGCCTGAATCTCATCTTCCTCATCTGACTGATATTTAAAAATGCTCGACAACAGTAACTGCAAGAGGTCACTCCAAGGTCCGGATGCTTCCTTCGTTAACACCGCTTTTTCCAACAAGTCCAAGGTAAAACCGTTTGGAAAATATGCACTGACTTCCAATTCTTCTTTAAAAAATTCTAGAAACTCTAGAATCATGCAACAGTCACCGAACTTGTCGTTAGGTATGTCAGTATTGATCGGTATCGGTTGTGGAATCGGGGAAAGATCTTCACACTGGAGATCTTCCCTTGGTTTATTCCATTGCCTCACGTATGCAGCCAAAGCGGCTAGTTTCTGTTTCTGTTCCTTTTTACGTTCGGTAGTCAACATTCTTTCTTCTTTGCGTTTCGCTTTTTCTTCGAGCGCCTTCGCTTTGAGCTCTTCTTTGAATTTTCCGTTTGTTCTATGGATGAAGTACAGAGTGAACACACTACCGGAAATTCGTGTTTCTGATGTGACAAAATTATTTACCTTGGTTTCTTAAACTTCTTTATATCCACACCAGTCTGATTTACCTTTTTGAGGGGATCAGGCTTCTGTACTGGTTTCTGCTTCGATATATCTGCTGTAAGAAATTTCTCTATCGATTCTTGCTTGTGTTTAATAGGTCTCTTAACACGTGACGTAAAATCAGGAGGAGGACCAGCAAATATGGTATCAAAACGTACTTTACTGATTCCGTACTTCTGTAGTACACTATCCTGGAAGCAAACACTTTTCATTATTGTACTTCTTATATAATTCATGTTGGGGATTAAAGTTACTAACTTTAACAATCCATATACCGCTCTCGTTCTGCTCGCACAACAGACGTAAAAATATTTTATTGCGTTCTCTGCTGTAATGTTGCTTTTTCCTTCTAACTTGTGCTGCTTCTACTATCATAAGCTGACTAACATCGGAATCTCCGCAGTCTAACTGTTCCACTTCATAGCGAAACAATTTTGCTGGTGGATGATACTGTTGCTCTTGTGGATTCCTAACAAAAGCAATTATATTAGAATTTTTTATCAGTATATAATACATATAGAATGTCTCAATTATTTATGTTGTCACTTTCTATATGTTTGTCAATTTTAATATTATTTATATAACCATTCTCAAATATTTTAAACATAGCAATAAAAATCGTATATTTCAAATAAGTTGTTGCATAGTGTGTGTTGAAGTTTAAAAAATAAAACGAAAGACATGAACAGTTATCATTACACTTTATTGCTTGGAATCAATCATTTTGGCTTTTGAAAGGTTCCAATCGCTAATACTTTTTATGGTGAATTGTTAATTCTATTAAGAATATGAACCCCAAAGACACATTACATGTATATATTAAGTATATTTATACCTATTTTCTATCATATATGCCTTTATTTGTTGCTCAGATGGTGCAATAACTTGAAGGACATGGCATTCGCACCAAGAATCCTCTGTAAAACTTGCTTCCACCATTTCTCCAACAAAATAACGATCCCTTGCAAACTGATATACATCTTCTATCATTTCATTAAACGAAGATCTATTTGTTTTACTGGCAAGATTTAATATAGGAATACGTAACTGTAATATAAAACACATGAAAATAATTGTATTTAACATTAAAAACTTACATAAGAGTTAATGTATCAATAAGATAAATACCTCCATAGGGAATTCTTTAAGACTTCTCTTTGCATTTTCCTCACACTGCAAAGCCTCTTCGTATGTCATGTTACTTTTCCCAGTAATACTACATGACCATATGAGTGAATTGCACAAGATAATCCTCTCGCAGAATTCACTGCAATCATTAAAAAAATTAAAACAAAACAAATATATATATTAAAATAACAATGCAGTCATCAACAATAATGAAAGGAAATAAATTTTTGAAAAAGGATGCAGATCCAGAGGGCCAAGTGTCAACAATCATTCATACGAAAATCAAAACAACGTGTTTCTACCAATGATCGTTGCGCGTTTCAGTAATTTTCGTACAATCTACGACTCCATCGGTTCTTGAGAAACCGCAAAAGGGAATACACAAGGAACAAATACACATAGGTCCGTTATCTTACGTACACATTTACCGAAGACAAAACCAATTAAACGGAACGAAATCGAAAGAGAACGAAATAATTGCGTTCTACGTATCGCGCTAAAGGAATCACAGTACATGTCTCGCCGCGGTCTCGGCTGTCATGGTCTTACTTGTAGTCCTTGAAGATCTCGTTGGTAACCTCGCAGTGGAATACTTCGTCGTCGTCCCTGAAGTCTGAGGAGACGTGGAGTCGTTGAAACGGCTGTTTGCGAAGCAGCGGCATGTCAACGATTCGTGGTTTCGCTCAACGATTCAACGCTGTCCTCCGTCACGTCTCGAGACTTCCTTTGAGAAATCAATTCTGCGTCGAAGACAGTAACGTCCGCTCTTTCCGGGAACACCACGGGCACATGCAGCGCACACTTAACTTGCAAACGTAGAGATTCGTAAGATCACTGTGGACAAAACTCGCGTCACGATACACGCGACTCGTCGTCCCTGTGATTCAGTCCGTTCATGCGTCGGATACGTAAAATACCGAAGATATTTGACGAGACATCTCAAGTCTCATGACAATGCACGATTTAACGGTGCTCGTGGAAGCGCGCATTCACATCTGGCACCCCGAAGCCGGAAACCAATAAAAGGACCACGTTGCCAACTGAATCGAATTACGGTTCAAAACGCGGGAAACAAATGTAACATTAGCCACACTTTCCCTTTTGTCGACGTATTTGAAATTCTATATCTTTATAAATGTTTATTCTTTTTGTGTACTTATATTTCGTTAAACTACTCGTAACGTAATATACTTTTGCGACAGACTAACATAAACACGAACGGGATAATATTTTTGCTGTTGGTAAGCAGTATCCGGTTTAAATGGACATTAGGTAAATTTCGCGGGAACAGATACGGTCACGATTTGTTGAACGTTTGTTTGACCTTATTTTTGAGGAAATTATGATCTGACCTTTACGATTATCTAAAGCACAGCAGTGCAATGAAACATTTAGTGTATATACTGTTAGATGTTTTGACGTTATAAGACTATAAATAATGTGTTCAAATATAACATACTGTCGAAAATACTATTGGTGAATATAAATAGTTGATAACGAATAGATCGCGGATCTTATGCATTTATATATAGCTGACAATGTTTCTGTGAATCGGTTTGTATCGTAATTTAGTAACGAAAAGGGTAACTAGAAACAAAAATTCCGTTACTTTGTCTACTCCATTAAAAGTTTTTTTAAGTTTCAAATACAAGAATTTTTTCTGTTCTAAATTTTACCTATCATCTAAAATTCTTAGTCTACACATACATATATACATTATGGAGTGGACAAACGATTATTTCAATATTTATTTTTATTAAAAAAAATGTTATTCCAACCATTCTGTTATGTACTGGCATTTTGTAGGTGTGACATCCCCTATGTCACAACAGTTTTTCCTCACCTGCAGGCAAATAATTTTATTATATGATTAAACAGGTAATAGTATGATTGAAATTGCATTTGAAAAGCCTGTAAGTACTCACAGGGCAAACACCACAAGTAGATTTAATTAATCCAGGTGCGCTTAATAAAGATTCTACTGCTCTATATAAATTACTTCCATCCCCTGAAAGAGTACGTTCTACTTTTCCATCATAAACCAAAGTATTCAATATCATCTCCAAATCTTCGACTGATAATTTTACCTGTAAATAACTATATATTATCCATAGTCATATATACATTAAAGAAAGTCTCATTAATATTAAAACCTTGCTTATTCCTAGATCAGAAATGAACTTCCAAACTTCTTTGGATGAAGCAAATGTAACATTTCTAGCTGCAATTGGTCCACCTCTGCAAGAATTCATTTGTTCGCGTTTCTTTTCTAAAAATCTATAACATTGCTGATTGAGAACATCTACAAATTCTGCCTCAAAATCTTGGTCTTGATACCAGGCACCACCTGTTACAGATGTGTCTGGTTCCAAATTATACAACATATAAACCTTCTTCTTGCTTGCTGCTACAGACTTGACAGCTTTGATAAATTTTTTAGTTTCTAAGCTTTTCAAAATCTTATTCAACTGGGTTGGCATTAAGTTAGACTTGAATCGTATGTCTCTAATCCATATTCCCTTGTTTCCTGCTTCTTCAATTATGGTATAGACAATCTTTTCTTCATTGTCTGCACCTTTTGCTATTTTTGCTTTGGAAGGATCTTTTAAACGATACAACAAGGAACCACCTTGTTTAAATAAGTCAAAATGACCCAGAGATAACAGTTTATTTATAATTTGGGCTCTTTGAGCAGGCTGCAAATCTGGTATTTCAATTGTCAAATCTTTGTCCGATATACCTTTTGGTCAAGCTTGAGCCAATGCAAGAATCCTGAAAATTTAAATACTACTCATCAATTGAATACTTAAAGTTTATTCTTTATTATATAATAAGGTAACAATGTCAGTGTTTATTTGATTTATACTATGTAAGGAGTAGTATACATAACCTACAGATCACATAAATAATTACTCGGGTAACAGTTAGTAAAAGAAGAAAAAAAAGATACTTTTGTTCAATGGCTTCCACTGAATTAGTGTCTGTAACATTCCCATCTTGATCCTTCGAAGTACCGGCTTCTGATTCCATTGAATTACTTAATTATAAAAGATTATACAGCCTATCTGATTATTTTTATATTTGCTAGGTTATATCGTCACGTTTTTTCATTATTTACAAATAAGTTTTATTAGTCAAGACAAATATTTGGTGATATATTGATACAATGTAATTTTTAAAGAATATGGACGAATCTGCATCTACACCGGAAGTTGAGGAATCTTTGCACGTCGCTGCTAAGAACTTTGTTAGAATTATAAATGCTGCTAAGAAGGTATTATTTATACACAATTAAAATTGTATTAACAACATATATTCAGTATTATTTATATATAAGTAAAATTTATATTGATATATATATACTTATGTTATTACTTTTATAGGGTGGTTACAGGGAGGGAGTAGAGAATGGATCAGATTCTGTTTTTCAAGAAGGTTTTGATAGAGGATTTGAAGAAGGTTTCAAACATGGTTTTGTGTTAGGAAAATTTAAAAGTTTATTGAGTGTTATGCCACAGAATACTGAGCATCCACAAGATATAAAAGAAATTCTTGATAAAACTAGGAGAGGAATCTGCTATATCTGTTCAAAAGAACCACTGATTATGAATCATGAAATACAAAAACCATATGTAGAAATCATTGATGAACAAAAAAGATATTCTACGAAAGTAATGCAAAGACTACATCAATATTTCCAACCATATTTAAAAGACTTAAATTTTGATTAATCCAATATATTAGAAATACCAAATTATGTTTCAGATCTATCCACAAACACTTAATTCATTAATCCAAATATAATTTTTCATATGTTTCTATTAGTCTGTGTAACACGTTACAATTAAACTGTATGTGAAGAATATTAATTGTAGACTTTTTATAAATACAATCCTTCGGGTGAACCCTCTTTTTTCCGATACAAAACACTTTCCTTAGATTTTTTAAAGTCATCACTGGTAACTTTCATACGGCGTTCACGTAATGCCATTAAACCAGCCTCAGTACATATAGCCTGTGAATTAGAAATGTATCTCATTATTTTGAAAATGTTTTGCTCTATTAAGCTACTATCCAACT